CGACCCTCCCTATAAAAAGCAGCAGATCGCCCTGACTGCATGAATGCAACGGGAACCAAAATCCATGGTGCTCTCTCTGCCTCTTAAACATGTCAGCTTCATTTCTCATCAGCAAAAAAATAGGTCGATGACCAAGTCTGCTGAGTACTGGAAGTTAAAAACAAAAACAAACAAAACCCCACAGGCCCACTTTGAGATCTTTGGACGATTCGTAATTAAAGAGCAACGTGCTGAGTCAGGGACCGTGTTATACCCATCTTCCAAAATAGTCGACCAAGCCGGCAGGAGCTGAAGTGCTTTCTTTTGGACACAGAACACAATCCAGATTTTCGGTCTGCCTGCTAAACATGCTCATTGCTGCTGCTCTTTTTCGGAAAACTTGAGGCCAAATAGCTTTTAAGGACATCTTGGCTCCTGCAGGACGCTAGCCTCAGCACCGCCCTATTAAGCGCTCGGTATCATTTACCTGGTGGCCACCACTTGGTCGTCCAAGGAGAAGCTCTCATGTCGGGGTAGGGTTGGCAAGTACAAGGAAACCACCTGACCCAACAGGCCGCTTTTCCACGTGCACAGTTCTGGTGCCTTTCATTCGTGGCGCTTCCCTGGAGAAGAAATCGAGTCCAGCGATGGCTCCCTCTGGTGGAATAGCGGAGCTGCTGGAAGGTCTGCCCAGTGGTGGAGGGAAGGGGGCTGAGGGAAAGCCAGAGGAAGGGCCTCCCAGGGCAAGGGGTCTGCAATCAGACCCCAAGAAGCCCCAGGAGACAGGATAGAGCGCTCTGCTGCCCTGTCCCTGGGCTGGTGCTCCTGGGGGTACAGGCTTGTGCTTCTGACCTTTTGACTCCTTTGGGACTCCAAAGTGGACATCCAGGCTACAGTTTCCTCCCCACAGGTCTAGGTCAACTTTGAACAGGGAGGGCAGAATTTGGGGAATGGAAGGTTTCGCATTAGAGCCGTAGGGCAAAGCCTGGTCCACACCAGAATCCCCAGCTGGGAGGAGCCCCTGGTGAGAGGAGTGGTCCTGGTCTTCCCCACCCCAAGCTCAATCCACAGGGCCCTACATTAGCGCCTTCCTGTGGTCTCGGGCCCTCGCTGACCTGTGCAGGGGTATGCTCAGAGCTATAGGGAAGAGTGTGTCTACACAGGGCGAAGAGCAGCCAGCGTCCTTGATCACAGAGCTCGCCTTGGAGCTGGCCTGGACTCGGGATGCCAGCCACCAGTCCTGGGAGCGGGGGAACCCCCTTGAATGATGTCCAGAGAAATTGTTGGCCAGGACCCCACAGCCCTTCCCAAGGGTTCAAGCGGAATTTCCGGGCTTACACATTGGCTCTGCAGGGAAGAAAGCCCAAACCAGCTCCTCTTCTTCCCTCCTCTCCCCAAGCCACCCCTCCCCACGGATAACCTTTCAGTTTTTGCATTCACCTCTGATACTTTTAAGTGAAAACATGAATTAGGCAAACTAATCAATTGGAAACTGCTGAGATCGGGGCTTTCTCAGAGTGTAGTGGAAATGGCTTTTTTACTTGAAGTCTGCTAAGATGTCGCTGAAAATATTGAGGAACAGGTGAGCATGGTGATCCCTGAAGACGAGCGTGGGACGGAAACGAATGGATTTGTCGCCGCAGCCCCCCAACACCACACCTGGAAGGAGAAGCAGGTGGGTTAGAGTCAGGGCTCCCAGGGCCCGTGCCAGGAAAGCCGGCAGGGAAGTGACACGTGCCAGCCGTGCTCCAAACACAGGTTTTACCTCTGCTACCCTGCCTTCTATCTACCCCGCCACCCCTTCTCTCTGCCTTCATCCGTCTCACCTATCATTTTCTCTTCCCGTCTCTGCTAATTCTGAGTGCCTGCACTAGGGCCTAACTAGGTCTGGTGACAGAAACCCTGAGACAAAGTTCTTCCCTTCTAGAAATTCATGGTGTGAGAGGAAAAATCAGGTGGACGGCTCTGTGGCCTAGTGATTAAGGGAGCTGATCCCACAAGGCTTGAATCCTAGCCCCAGCAGCTTGAAAAACACACCAGGTGCGTGTGTGTGCCCCAAGTCCCCAAAGGATGGGGAGATGGGGGAGGGATTGTGGCATGACCGTGTGCCCCTCCTTTTGCCTGTCTCTGGCAAGCTCAAGCACCCTCTGATAAGTTTGTTCGTTTTTTTAAAAGAGAAGCAAACGCATTAGCACTGCACAGGCTAAAGTGCAAGCACAGGAGGTGCGGAGCTGCCACTGCAGAGGGGCGAGGATCACCCCCACCGTTTACAGCTGGGTGTCCTTGCCTAGGGAGGTCAGTCAGGCAGTTTGTCACTTCAGAAACGAGCCTAATTCTCTGTCCTGCAGAGTTCCCATTCGGGCACAAGAGGGCCAGCCGCAGTGTGGGGATAAGGCAGCTAGATCCCACTTGACTGACCTTGTGGTTCGAGCCCTGGACTCTGCAGCTTGAGAAACACGTTGGGCACATGTGCATGCATGCCCAGATCATGAAAGGAGAGAGATGGGGAGAAGGGATTATGGGATGACCATGTCCCGTGGGGGTTCTCTCTTTCTCTCTCCAATGAGCACATACACCCTCTAGAAAAACTTTTTAAAAAGATAGTATGAGGAAAAGATCTAACTCTGTGCCGGACACACACAGGCTGCTCTGGACTCACCACAGACCCCTCCGTAAGACTCGGATGGCTTCCCAGAGTTCTCAGGGTAAAGTCGGAATCTCCAACCGTGTGCATCCCCTCCTCTGTGTCCCTCACCAAGCTCCATTCTGTCCTTCCCCACCTCTGTGAGCTCTACCTGCCTCAGGTAATCGCACCTGTCCTCCCCATACCCAGAATACTCTTCTCACCATCACCAGACCAGTCCCTGTTCATTCACAGAGACATAAGGTCAAGTGCTACTTCAGGGAAGCCTTCCTGCTTTCCTGGCCTCCACAGTTCCCCCAGCCATTTGTTCTTGGTCTCCACTCCCCCTTCCTGGGACTTGTCACTGCAGCGGACCGTCTGAGATGCCGGTGCTGCCAGCGCGTGTCCTGACGGTGGGACTGAGGGGCTCAGCACTGTGTGCCTCAGTGTCGGCCTAACTCACCTTCACGGGGAAGAAGCACTGCTAAGTGAGCAGAGGACAAAGAAATCCACTAGGAACTGCCTCTTCTTTCCAGAAAGAACATTCAGGCTATTGTTAGTTGCATGTACCATCTGTGCCCCACCCCCCACCAGGTCCCTGACAATATTTTACACCCACACCAGGAGGAGCAGTCACTCCCGGCTCCCTTACCTTTGTTTCTGGCGATTAAAATGAGTTTATTCCGTATGGATTCATCTGGAGTGTCAAAGGAGCAGAAGGTGCCTCGGCCTCTCACTCTGCTGATGAATTGGGGGTACCGGGCCTGCAGTGAGGGAGACAAGGGTGGTGTCAAGTCCACTACCTGTGCACCGGCCGGGCCCAAGGGCTGTGCCCTGCCGATGCCTCCCCTGGGCCAGCCTTTGGGCCCCTCTGGACTGGCAGGACCCCTGTAGGGTTGAGTTCTGGCTCTGGAGACGTCCAGGTTGGGTTCAAAACCTGGCCCTGCCCCTCCTCCTGGCAACCTTGGGCGAGCCCTGTAAGTGGTCTGTGCGTCTGTCTCCCTCCCCGTAAGCTGAAGAGCACGAATGCTACTGGCCCACTGGGCTGTGGGGAGAATTCAGTGACACAGGGTCTCCGAGTCAAGCCCTAAGGCAGGGCCTGGCACTCGGCAGGCACTGGGGAAGTATAAGCCGTCTCTGTTCTTAGCTATTCTACAAAGGTGGTGCTTCCAAGAGAAACACTCATCCTCACTCAAGGCCTGGAGACCGGGAGGTGTCTGGGTGGAACCACACCTGCCACCTGTTCATGTCCCCCCAGAGCCTGCGAACAGGACTGTATCTGCAGACATTAGATAAGGTCTCCGTGAATCAGGGTAGGCCCTAAGCCAGTGACTGCTGCCCTGCTGAGGAAGATCTGGACACAGATACCTGTACAGAGGGGACAGTGCTAAGTGATAGTAGAAACAGAGACTGGAGTGATGACTGCAGGCAGCCACAAGGTGCTAGGAGGGGGGCAGGAACAGACCCCCCCTCAGCCTCCAGAAGGGACCAGCCTGGCTGCCATCATGGTTTCAGACTTCTGGCCTCCAGAACCCATGAAGCCACTGGTTGGTGATACTCTGTGATGGCGGCCCTAGGGGATTCACACAGGCACCTGGCCAAGGAGCTCGCATTCTCCCCACTCCCTACTGTTCACGTGAAGGCAGCAAGCGAGGGCTTGGATAACCCCACTAATTTCAGGGTACTGGATACAGAGTTGTAGGGGCAAGTTTTCTGTCATGATGGGTCCCTGGTGGAATTGGAGGTGAAGTCTGGTGAGGACAGAGCCAGGCACGGAGCCAGCCATGTATGAGCCTAATCTTGAACCCTCACTTGACCAGTGGAGATGGGCCCATTTTGTTCTCCACAGGTGAAGAATCCCAGGCTTGGAAGCTCCTCTGGCATTTATTCTGCCCTGGTTCTTGTGCTTGCCGATGGCCTGGGAGCCAGCACTATGAACACACCCTTCTCGCCCACCATGGGAGTCACTGGGGAGTTTAGGAACAAGGTCCCTTCTGTTAGGGATGCCCTGGGGGCCCTGGTGCCCTGCCTCCCTCACCCTTTCTCTCTCACAAGCACAGAGTGAACTCTAGTCCAGGGCAGTGGGTACCCCCATTCCCTCCCTGTGTCAGGCATTCACTGAGCATTGTAGGCAAAGTCTGTATTAGAGCTTGGGTCATGGTTTATCCCCCATGGTTTCATGCTTTACAGCTTGGTGCTGGCTGGGGTCAGCAGGTGGCATGGTGGTTAAGGCACTGGACTCCCACATGGCTGACCTTGGTTCAAGTCCCAAACCTGGTGGCTAATTTTCTCACTTTCTCTGTGTGTCTCTGGTCAAACTAAAAAAAATAAATAATATTGAAAAATAAATAATTTGGTGCTGGGAGGTGGCGAGGCCTGCTGGGTGGTGATTAGATCATGGTGGCTATGTCATGGAGGCAACGGTCTCATGAATCATGATGTCTTATGAGACCCAGTAAGATGCTGCTCCTCGAGAGGCGGTTTGTTCTCGTCAGGGCTGATTGTTATCAGAGACAGCTGTGGGCCAGCCATGCCAGGCCTGTGCCTTTGGACTTTGAGCCTCTAGGACTGTGAGTTATTAATCCCTTTTTCTTTATAAGCCACCAGTGTTGGGATCTCTTTTAGGGGCACAGTGGGGACCAACCTAGAAGGCCTGCACTGTGCACGTCCAGCCTAGTTGTTTCAGGGCAGTCCTGTAAATTCGACTCACTCCTTACCCAGGAAATTGAGAAACAACTCCCCAGGAGGGTGGCCACGCTGTAATCCCTTCTCCATTCTCCTCCCTGGATCTTGGGCGGGCATGCACATACATGTGCCCAGTGTGATTTTTAAGGTATTGGGTCTGGGATTTGAACTGTGGTTGACCATGTGGAAGTCCAATGATGTAACCACTATCTTATTTGCTAGTCCCATTTGCCCATAGCTTTCTAGAGGTTTTTGCTACAGGGCACATGCATTTGCCAGAGAGAGAAACAGAGAGACAGAAAGTGAGAAATCACCCTCTGGGGGGATGACCATGCCACAATCCCTTCTCCTCCATTCTCCTCCTGGGATTTTGGGCATGCATGCACATGTGCTCAGCATGAGTTTCAAGTGTCCAGGTCCAGGACTTGAACTGCAGTCAGCATGTGGGAGTCCAGTGCCTTAACCACGATGCCCCTGCTGGCCCCAGTGAACTATATTATTAAAATGAATTTCACCACCTTTTCTTTTACTTTTAGTTTAGTCACCCGCACATTTGTGATTGCTTATGTGGCCTGCAGCAGATCCCTGGACAGGCCCTGTGAAGTGGCACACGTGGCGGGCAGCATGGAGGAAGGACGCGTTAGTGCATCAGCAAGGGAGTTCTGGGGCCTCTCAAGGGCTGTGTGAACCTGGTGTGCAGATAATAAGGGGTTCAGGAACTGGGTGGATGGGGCCGAGGGACCAGAAGGTACTCCCCAGAGAGGGCATAGCTTGTGCGCTTGTGCCAAGAGGCCCGTTCAGGATGGCTGGAACAGCAGGTCCAGTGCCGTGCTGACCGAGGGGAATGGATGGGACCCGGGGCAGCAGGGAGGGTACCTGGAGGTCCAGCAGCCCCGTGAGCAGGGCCTTCCCAGCGTGGGCTGCATTGCTCAGCAGGTCCTCCCGCTTGATGACGTTGATGACCTCGGCCAGCAGCAGGTTCTTGGATGGGTCTCCCAGCCAGGTGTTGAAGATCCGGTAGGGCTGAAACAGGCGCGAGGGTGGGCGGGGCTCACAGCCGGGCACCACCACGTCCTCTCTCGGAGAGAGACGAACCCGGAGACATCTGCCCAGGGCCAGGTGACTAGTGCGTCTTCTCCCTGGACTACTCCCCCGCCCCCCGCCCAAGCCCTACTCGTAGGCACGGCTTTGAGGAGAATAACTCGCCCCACACGCTGGGAAATCCCTCAGATCCAGGCAGCAAGACGGCCCGGTCCCTTACCTGCCCTGACCCTCGGAGGTTCTGAGAGGTTAAGTGACTTGTTAGGGAGACATGGCTGACAGCTGGTGGGACTGCTGGTATTCTGACTCTCAAAGATCACCCATTCTCCCCTCTGTCAGTTATTGTGATTATTTTAAAAATATTTATTTAACTAATACAATATGTTATTATTATTATTTTTTAAATTTGACTAAGGAGAGACAGAGAGAAAGGGAAAGCAAGAAAGAAAGCCACCAGGTCCAGGACTCGAATCGCGGTTGGCCATGTGGGAATCCAGCACCCTTAACCACCACCTGCCGGCCTCTCTCTGTCAGTTATTAAGGGTGGCAGCGTGGCCAACTAAAACATACTTCTGCACCTCCCGTATAGTTAGGACGGGCCTTGTGACCAGGCCTTGGAGATTTCTAAGAAGGCTGCTAAAGACAAAAGGGACCAGTCTGTTCTTCATTTTTTTTCCCCCCTTCCTGATGCCTAGGATTGAGATGTGGTGGCTGGAGTTCTAGTAGCCATTTTGGACCGCAAGGTAACCTTGAGGGTGGAAACTACATCTAGGAGTGGTGAAAGGAAGGCTCTTGGGCCCCTGATGGCTCTGAGAGTGTGTGAGTGTGTGTGTGAATCTGCACACACACACGTGGCTTTATAGTGTAGTAAAGAGCAGGGGCTCTGTGTTGGAATTCTGGCTTTGTTGCTCACAGGCTGTCTGGACTAGGATAACTTACTTAACCTCTTGTGCCTGACTGTTTATTAGTAAAATAGTGGGTATATATAACACTGATCTGGGTATACTGTTGTTAAGGATTAAAAGTACATGAGAGGGCGAGCGAATGGCAAGGAGGTTAAGGCACTGATCCACGTGGCTGACTGTGAGGTTCACGTCCTGGACCCAGCAAGTTGAAAATCACGTCGGGGTGTATGCCCAAAATCTCAAGGGGAGACTGGAGCAGAAGGGATTGCAGCATGGCCGTTCCCCCTAGGGAGTGATTTCTCACTTTCATTCTTTTTTTTCCTCTGGTGAGCATATATCCTACAGCAAGAAAAAAAAATAGTGGGAACTGTCTTGAACGGGGCCAGGGCCCAGAGCACAGGCTCAGGCAGCAGTGCTGTTTGCATGCACAGAATAAAACCAGAAGACGGTGGATGAGGGGCTGCCGCCATGGGAGCCTCGTGGAGGGTGCTGGGTGATCAGAACCACTGTGGCTAATGAGATGGACAAAACTGGGTCTTAGACAACCTCTGGGACATGCCAGGCATCCACCCAGTTCCTCACGCTTGAGAGGACGCCCCGAGCCTGCTCTGGCCGGGGAGAAGGAGCAGGGTCCCACTCACAGCATTGGGCCTGAACTCTTCCTTGTAGAAGAAGCCTCCTGTCATCATCTTCTTGCTGAAAGTCATCATGTCGGCTGGGTCGTCCAGGCCCCAGTGCTCGTGGGCCCAGAACTTGCCTGTGCAGCCCCCTCCGGTCTGGACCTCATCTACCAAGAAGGCACAGCCATGCTGGCCGAGCCGGGAGACAGAAGGCAGAACTGAACACCCGCGGAGGCTGGCGAACCCCGCCCCCACAGCCGGCTAGTCACCACTTCATCCCGGTTTTCTGAGCTGCAAACCAAGCCCGCACTCTCTGGCAGTGCAGACCGTTCCCCCTAGGGAGTGATTTCTCACTTTCATTCTTTTTTTTCCTCTGGTGAGCATATATCCTACAGCAAGAAAAAAAAATAGTGGGAACTGTCTTGAACGGGGCCAGGGCCCAGAGCACAGGCTCAGGCAGCAGTGCTGTTTGCATGCACAGAATAAAACCAGAAGACGGTGGATGAGGGGCTGCCGCCATGGGAGCCTCGTGGAGGGTGCTGGGTGATCAGAACCACTGTGGCTAATGAGATGGACAAAACTGGGTCTTAGACAACCTCTGGGACATGCCAGGCATCCACCCAGTTCCTCACGCTTGAGAGGACGCCCCGAGCCTGCTCTGGCCGGGGAGAAGGAGCAGGGTCCCACTCACAGCATTGGGCCTGAACTCTTCCTTGTAGAAGAAGCCTCCTGTCATCATCTTCTTGCTGAAAGTCATCATGTCGGCTGGGTCGTCCAGGCCCCAGTGCTCGTGGGCCCAGAACTTGCCTGTGCAGCCCCCTCCGGTCTGGACCTCATCTACCAAGAAGGCACAGCCATGCTGGCCGAGCCGGGAGACAGAAGGCAGAACTGAACACCCGCGGAGGCTGGCGAACCCCGCCCCCACAGCCGGCTAGTCACCACTTCATCCCGGTTTTCTGAGCTGCAAACCAAGCCCGCACTCTCTGGCAGTGCAGAACCGAACACAGAGAACACTTGATCGGAGCAGCTCCGACCAGAACTGCACCCGCGTGTTTCTTAGAGCTACTGAGCTGGAACAAAACCGCATCAAACCCTCCTTGTGCCAAAGCAGAGCGCTGTTTCATTTGGCTCCAGGCCTGGTCTGGAGTTGTCAGAGAAAACACGTCCACCTGGGAGGCCCAGGCTGCATCCCAGACCTCAGCTGCCACGTTCTGTTTATCACCTCGACAGGGACCAAATCAGGGTTTGCGCTGAAATCAACTCATGTCCTAGAACTTCCCCCCGGAACTTGCTGGTGCGAAGTGCCAGCTGTCTGCACAGCATAGGGAAGCACACACATGGTCGCGTTGGCTGCTTTTCAGCCCTCGAGCGTGAGCCACCCTGGGCTGAGACAGCAAGGGTGGTCTCTAGAAAGAAGAGGGGGAGGCAGAGGCCTTTCCAGGACCCTGTTTCTCTCTTACTTATTCATTTCTTCTATGAGTGAGAAAGCAGGAGTGAGAGAGAGGGGGACAGCATCCCAGCAGGGTCTGAATGCTGCAGTCTGCTCTCAGGCTCTGCTGGCCCCAGGTCATGGGCACATGTGTGCCTAGTGTGCTCAAGGAGGGCTCCCGACTCGAACCTGGACCCCTGCCATGTGAGTCGGCCTTGCAGGGCATCACGGTTTCCTTCTGCACCACTGTCCAGCCCCTAGGAACCTCTCGATGGGGAAAGTCTGAGGAGGATGGCAGGTCGGAGGCTGATGTACTACGGCTATAGGGAGGGGCCCAGGTTTGTGTCCAGGGGTCTCCCTGTGCAGGCTGGCGAACGAAGGCTTGCGTGTGACCCTGGCTGGCTAGGGCTGAGGGTGGATCACGGGACCTTGCTGATGTGCCTGTCTCTGTCTCTCTCGTGGAAGAAATGAATGAATACATTTTTAAAAGAATAGACTGTAAGGGAGGATCTCCTTCCTCTCCAACCACAACTTCTCTCCCCGCGATGCTGACAGCCCTCTGGGGTGTGTGGAGAAGCAGTGCTGACCCTCCTCCATGGACACTTGGCCCTGAGCCCCCATGGCCTATGCCCTGGCCCTGCCCACTGACCTTCCTGGCTATGTCTCGCAGCCTCCGAAAGAAGTCGTCCGATGCGTGGTTGTCTCCGCCCTCGGACTGGATGGGCTCCACAATGATCCCAGCCACCGTCTTCTCCTTTTTCCGATATTTCACTATCAGATCCTCCACCTGGATCCCAAAGGGGAGAGTCAAAATCGCTTGCAGAGATTTGTTTTCTTTTAATTATCAGAAGACATGTGCACTTGCTAGAGTGTGACAGAGAGGCAGAGAGGGAGAAAGCACCCCCCAGTGGGGGTCATACCCTAGTCCTCCATCTCTCCATCCAGCCAGGGTTCGGGCACACACACACATGCCTCGTGTGTTTTTCAAGTCACTGAGGCCGAGACTGGAACCACGGTTGACCACATGGGATCCAGCTCCCTTAACCACCAGGCCACAGGCTGGCTGTCTTACAGAGGTTCTTAGGCAGTGTGTATAGCTAGGCATTTGGGCTTCCAGGAACTCCTTGAAATAATACTGAAACATGGTGGGCATGTCCATGAGAAGCCACACGTGGGGCAGGGAAGGCTTTGCACCTGTGACTGGTGGCAGCACCCAGGGCAAGGCGTTCAACTCTGGAGCCTCACCTTCCTGACGTGAAGGTGGGCACAGTGACGGACTCCACCTGGCGGGCTTGCAGAGGGGACTGAGTGAGAACTCTGCTTGGTGTGCACCTGCCAGCAGCGGTACGGTCACCACGGGGCTGGGTGTGGGCGCTGCTGGGCTATCTTTACTCTTATGAGCCTGCGAGATCCTTTTGGAAAGAATCTGCCATATTTTCTCATTTAAAAAGCAATTGTGGGAACCAGCAGTTAGCGTAATGGCTATGTCACTGGACTCACATGTAGTCGACCGCAGTTCGCGTCCCGGACCCGGTGGCTTAAAACTCACGCCAGGCGTGTGTGCATGTGTACTCAAGATCCCGAGAGGAGAATGGAGGAGAAGGGATTGTGGCGTGACCATCCACCCCCCCTGGGGGGTGATTTCTCGCTTTCTGTCTCTATGTCTCTCTCTGTCTGGCGAGAGCACAAGCCCTATAGCGAAAACCTCTCCAAAAAAAAAAAAAAGCAATCGTAAAACTCATCTACAGTGGTAGAAACGAAATCAGTGGTTGTGCGGAGCGGGGCTATGGGGTAGACTGACTCCTCAGGCTGTGCAGAGGAAATCCCTAGGGTGCTAAGATATCCTGGCTGGGGCGCTGGTGTATTTATTTGTCAAAATTTATTGAGCTGGACATTTCTTTGGGTGTGTTTCACGGTATGTGAATCATATGTTAATGAAGTTGATTAAAAAATTTAACCATTTGGTTCAGCAAATTGTGAAATGCTTACGTCGCTGGGCTCCCATGTAGTCGACTGTGGGGTTTGAGTCCTAGACCTGGCAGCTTAAAATTCACGCAAGACATGTGTGCTTGTGTGCCCAAGATCCCAAGAGGAGAATGGTGGAGGAGGGACTGTGGCATGGCCATCCCTTCTGGGGGGTGATTTTTCACTTTCTGTCTCTCTGGCGAGTGTACACGTCTTATACCAAAAATCTCTCTTAAAAAGAACAAAGGCTGGCAGGTGGCGTGGTGGTTAAGGCACTGGATTCTCACATGGCCTACTGAGGTTCAAGTCCCAAACCCGACAGGTTGACAATCATGATAAATAAATAAATAAATAAATAAATAAATGTTTAAATAAATAAATAAACTAAGAAGAAATAGGTGAAATTAATTTTCATTTCAATATATTTTAGCTATATTGAGATCAATAAAAAATTTCAAATTTAACCATTAATAGTGACAGGACAGTAAGAAAAGCACGTGAGTGTCCCCGGGTGGCTACATTTCTTGAGCTCTTGCTAGAAAGTGGGTGCAGCCTTGTAGGTAAAGAGAAGCAGTTGTAACGCTTCATTAATAGTTGACATGATTTAAAAAACCCCTCACTGCACACCTAGAGGGGCCAACCAGTGCTGTTTCCTTTGTTCCGTGCAGCAGGGAAAAGCCTCCTGTTTAGATGCTGTGATTTTGGTCGACCCCCCACAAATTCTGGGACGCGTTGCTTTGCTGTCAGAGCATGTGGCAGTGTGTCAGTCCACGGCGGTTTTCCTGTTTTCTGCTCAGGGCCGTCTTTCCTTCTACCCCGATACGGAGGCCACGGAGCAGCATTAGGTACTGAGCACCTTAGTTCGTCCAAATGAGTTGTGCAGGAGTGTAAGATGTGCACAGTATTTCAAAGGCTTAACGTTTAGAAAATAAGATACTCAATAAAAAAACATTAATTACGAGGCCAGCATGGTGGTACTATGAGCTGAATCCCACATGACTGACCTCACGGTTCTAGTCCCAGACCTCGCAGCTTGAGACATACACCAGGCGTGTGTGCATACGTGCCTAAAATCCCAAAAGGAGGGCGACATGGAGAAGAGACTGCAGCATGACCGTGCCCCATGGGTACACCATGGGGATGCTTTTCTGCCTTCTCTCTCCAGGGAGCTCACACATCCTCTGGCAAATTAAGAAAAATATTACATGTCGACATAATATTTTAGATATATTGAGATCAATAAAATGCTATGAAAATTAAGTTCAACCTATTTCTTCTTAGTTTTTTTTTTTTTAAATAAAACATTTATGGGAGCTGGCAAATGGCATGGTGGTTAAGGGTGCTGGACTCCCACATGGCTGACTACGGTTTGAATCCTGGACCTGGCAGCTTGCTTTCTTACTTTCTCTATCTCTCTCACTTTGTCTCTCTGGTCAAATGAAAATAAATAAATAAGGTTAAATAAAATAATTCTTAAAAAAAAAAAAGTAACCACCATTTATTTATTTATTTATTTATTTGTCATGATTGTCAAGCTGCGGGTTTGGGACCTGAGCCACAGTTGGCCATGTGAGAATCCAGTGTCCTAACCACCTACCACCTGCCGACTTTGTTCTTACTTTTTAAAATGTGACTACTAAATGAGACTGGCAGGTGGCATGGGTTAAGGGTGCTGGACTCCAACATAGCTGACCATGGTTCAAGTCCTGGACTGGTGGCTGGCTTTCTCACTTTCCTTCTCTCTTTCTTACTCTGTCCCTCTCTGGTCAAAATTTAAATAAATAAATAAACTCAAATAAAAAAATTTTTTTTTTGGAGAGGTTTTTTTGCTATAGGGCGCGTGCGCTCGCCAGACAGACAGAGAGAGACATAGAGACAGAAAGCGAGAAATCAGCCCCCAGGGGGGATGGTCACGCCACAATTCCTTCTTCTCCATTCTCCTCTCGGGAACGCACGCACACGCGCCCGGCCTGAGTTCTAAGCCACCGGGTCAGGGACCCGAACCATGGTCGACTATGTGGGAGTCCAGCAACATAGCCATTACGCTAACTGCTGGTTCCCAAATAAAATATTTTAAAAAAAGTGACTACTAGTGGCAGGCAGGGGGTGTGAATTAAGACACTGGACTTCCACATGGCCGACAGCAATTCAAGTCCTGGACCTGGTAGCTTGCTTTCTCACTTTCTGTCTCTGGTTAGCCCATGTGACCTATAGCAAATTAAAAATAATAACAGATAAATAATTCTTTACAAATAAAAATAAAACATGCCTAACAGAAGACTGCAAGAACGCCTGTGGTTGCACTGTATTTCTGCTGGACAGTGCTGCCCCGACACCGTTGCCATGCCTGTGACTGACAGCCGAGTACCAGCCCTAGTGCCTTGCCTGATGCCTACTGGGTGCTCAGTAAACGTGACCTGGGAAATAATGAGGTGCAAGAAGGCCAGCATTCTCAGTTAGGCTCAAACCCAAACCCCAAGAGGCTTAGTAATTATTTTGCCAGCAACAGAGTCCTCCCAGTGTTCTCCATGGAACCCAATTCACTGCACAGAGCACGGGGCGGGGGCTGTTGTGGTGACACGAACACGTGGAGACAGGCAAAGCGCATCCTGTCTTCCCAGCACGCCCCGAGGAACTGAGAGAAGCCCAGCACTTGGGGAAGGAGCCTGTGGGGCCGTTGTTCTTTCTTCAGACCCCATATCCTTTCAGTAAATGCACTTGCTCTTAATTTAGAGCTGTCCCAGCTCACTCCCAAAGAAACTTAACTGATACAGAACTTGGTAAGTGGAGTGATGGGTGCTGTGTGGCAAAACTGTGTGTCTCCCTGCCTTTCCCAGTCCAGGACGTGAGGCCTCCTTGGCCCTACTTCCCTCCCAGGGAGAACCATACAGGTCCCCAGATGAACTCCTGTCTGTCCCTCATCTCTGGGGCTCAGTCTTGGGTGGGAGTACGGGAGGACGGGGGCAACCCGGCGTTACCTCCTCTAGACAGCGGGCCTCCTCTTGTTGGTTCTCTTTCACAAACTCTTCCAGAGGGTATTTCAGCCGTGGGAACGGAGCAATGGGCCAGTCGAAGGAAGGGATGTCGATCTTGTGAATAGCTTTGGAGTGCGTGGTTGCTAAGCAACCTAAGTCCAGCAACACAAAAAAGCAGACACTTGGCTTGGGAAGTGGGAAGATCAGTCACTGAAAAGGAGGTGATGGGCATGGCAGGCCTCATCCTCAGCTGCCCAGGGAGGCATGCAGCTGGCAGAACCTCAATTCTAACATCCTGACGCTGAAGTGGAACCCGTGAACCCTGAATGCCGTGGGCGTGGGTGTGCACGATTTGTGATTTATCACAGATGGAGCGCAGGCTTTGAGGAGGGACTCAAGCACTCAAATCCTGGCTGTCATTGAACACTTCTGCCGACCTTTGTTCTTACTTTTAAAAATGTGACTACTAGATGAGACCGGCAGGTGGCATGGGTTAAAAGTCCTTCCTTCCCTGAGCCTCAATTTCCACATCTGCTAAGTGGGGACAACGATCCCCATTCTGCCGGGAACTGTGTGGAATCAGTGAGAAAAGACATGCAAACTGCCCATGCCAGATCAAAGGTGGCTGTCATTGTCGCTGTATTGTTACTCTAAATACCGCCTGGCTCACGTGGCCCCTCCTTACCCATGGTCCTTCCGTGGAATGCACCCATGAAGGAGAGGATGCTGTAGTCGGGGCAGCCGGGGGCCTAGAACCAAGACAAATCTGTCATCAGGCACAGCTGTAAGGCTAGGGGCGACTGCAGACGTAGAGGAGCACAGACGTCTACCCTCAGCCAGAGCCCTCCTTGGTCAGAAGTTGGGAACTAGGACCTGGACCTCGGTATCCAGCCCATGGATGTTTTAATTTGCCCACATATTAAAAAATGTAAAAATGTGTATGTTGCCAAATTGAAAATCAAGAGATTTCACATGACTGTCTGAACTCTGGCTTCTCATGGGTCCTGCAGCATCTGGGCCCATTTTCCCCTGTGGCCACAGCAGGGGGACGAGCAGTGCCACTGCCCACTTCCTCCTCTGTCACCTGCATGGCCGCCATCTTGGCTCCAGACTGTTCGGGCTTCCACTGGTCTCAGGTGGGCAGGTGCTGCCGGGTGAACCCCTACTTCCCAGCACATCTAGGATGGGGGGTGGGCGAGCTGAGCACCTCACAGGAAATGCCCAAGGTCTGTGGACAGGGTCTGCTGAGCCAGCAAGTGGGCCAGGGGAGGACCCTACCTTTCTCACTCCTGCAACAGCTGCCCCTTGGGTTCAGGGGGGCACGTGACTCCAGTCTTTACCAGCCCTGAGTAAATGATGCAGCTGCCACTCCTTGTATTGTTTCTGACCCTCCGCAAGGCAAGGGAATCCAAACTTGCTTCCAGCTGACTCAAGCTGAATGTCTGAAGGTGCCTCAGAGGCAACTGTGAGGCCCTGGATCTCTACGTGGTTGACATAGCATTTTCTCAGGCTGGCTGATCTCCACCAGGTCCGCAGACTCCTGGGAAAAGCTCTAAGAACTCCTCCCATAAATTCCAGAATATGCTCTCATCATGTTTTCTTGTCTCCTGATTATAAATGCAATATACCCACATCACGCATACTTGGACATAGCTACTAAAAATGAGGAACGCTATCTAAAAGTGTTGGTGGAATATAATGTCCACAGATGTCAAATGAGGAAAGCAAAGGTAGAGGAGGAGGTAAGGTAAGGTCCGTTAAAAAGAATTAAAAAATAGCCAGCAGATGGCATAGCAGTTACGCTGCTGGACTCCCACATGTTCAACTGCTGTTCGAGTCCTGTACCTGGAGGCTTGAAACTCACACTGGGTGCAGCTGCATGCACGCCCAAAATCCCAACAGGAGAATGGAGGAGAAGGAACTGTGGCACGGCCATCCCCCCAGGGGGTGATTTCTCGCTTTCTGTCTCTGTCTCTCTTGGCAAACACATGCTCCTTAAAACAAAAACTCTCTCTAGAAAAAAAGAAAGCCAGGAAAATAAAAAAACTATAAGTTTATGAAGATTTCTATGGAAGTTATACATACATTTACTAACCAGAGAGAGGATTAGGAAAAACGTATATGAAAAAAGCGTAAAGAAAAGAAACCCAGCCTCGCTGCAGCAGTGCACAGGTGACGCCTTTGCTTACGAGGCCGGAAGCTGCAGGAGAGGTGCGGGTGGGTTCCTGGGTGAACCTGAACATGCTGGGCCCAGCAAGTGCCTGTGATCATGGATGACGAGGAGGCTGGGCAGGGGGTCGGGCACAGGGAGACACTGCCAAGGTTGTCAATCTGTGTCCCTTTCCCTCTCCTCTCTCTCTCAAAGGAAAAAACGAAACACAAACCCAATCTTACCAGCCAGACACAAGCCACTGTAAACATGTTGGCAGGACTCGTTCTAGTATTTTCCTGTGTATTTATGTACATGGTTGAGAGCACAGTGTCATGCAATTTATGGTCCACTGTTTTCACTAAATTCTAGCATGCATGCTCGGGCCAGGAGAAACCCTTTGTAATTATTTTTGCTGAAGAATATTGTGAATGTCAGCAATAGATAATTAAATCTTGTGACTCTTGATTCTAATTTTTTTTGAAGCAGCAGAGTCTTCCATCTAATCTTCCATCTAAACCTTAATGGGACCCCATGCATCAGATGGGGAGGTCTGACCTGCTCTGGTTGGAGCTGGGTGAACAGACTGGAATCAAACCTACCTGGTTTTTCCTGCAGTCCCTGCCACCTCTGTCCCCAGCAGTGAACTTGCTGGTGCCTCTGTCAACAGCTAGGGTTCCATTTGGAACCTCCACTCCTTCCCCACTCCTGGGTATATAGGGTTTCCACCCTGTTCTGGTAGTTATTGCAAACCCCAACGGTGTGGCCATCCTGTGTATACGTTTGTGCTGACATTTTGGGTTACTCAAGAGACTATACCATGGCCTCTTTGGACCAGTCAAACCCAGGCAGTTGTCCTGGGAAACCGGTGAAGGCTGGTCAGGAAGAGCACCACTCGACCTTAAAATGCGGGAATAGACTGGAGGGTGGGAACTCTGGGGACCCTCCCAACCGAAGATAGGGTCCAACAACCCATGTTGGCCAGGGGCTATGGCCACTCCCCCAATGGACGAGGTGGAAAGTCCAGCCATACCTACCTGGTTCACCATGCAGGTCTCTAGCTCCTCCTTTGAGAACCCCCTCTGACCTCTCTCTTTGCTCTGCCAGAACAGAATGAACAACATCTCAGACATGCGGAGGGTGGACAGGACTTCAACTTCCCACCCACACTGACGGGTCATCTGGACAACTTGAGTGCTTCCTTGGGGGTTGGCCTGGAGTGTTGGCCATGGCTCATTCGTGCTGAAGCAGGAGCTGTTGGTGGTGTTTGCTACGAAGTCAGTAGGTGGGCACGCAGATGCATTAACACACACTGACAACCACTAAGACCTGTCGAGACGGTCTACGTTATGCGGGGAAGCATGGTGTGATGGCATTGGGAACTTTGATGCCCGATCCCTGTCCTGGTGTCCCTCCCTGGATTTTGACTCCAGTCAGTAGGGGTGGGCAGTTAGACAAGAGGCTAGCATGTGGCTGGGTGCTGGGGAGTCCGAGGACGTGTGCGTGCACCACTCTCACCCGGTACCACATGAAGATGGTCTTGAAGGCGTTTTCATTGGAACAGGAGCCGCAGGCCATGGTGATAAGCTGGGACATCCCCTTGGGAGCCACCTGCCGTGAGGAGACAGCTGTGAGCCCAGGCCCATTGCACTTTCTCCCCCTCCCCCCACAGGAGCTGGCTTTCCACCTGGGTCAGGTTGCCTGGGAGGTTGGGTAGGGTAGGAGGAGGGGGGGAGTGGGGAGGGAAGGAATGGAATGTCCTGGAAGCAGCTGGAATTGGAGGGGCCACTCAGATTTTTCCAGGGTAGAGAAACAACCAGCAAGCCTTGAGGCTGGAGGCAGAGAGGAAAAGGGGGGAGGCCTATCTGTCCCCGTGGTGAACTGCCGCCCCGCCCCCCCCAGACACCCACAGTTTGCAGGTGAGAAGCTGAGGTTCCCAATGATTTTAATCATCCCCACGACTAAAACCAAAGAGCGGGAGGAAGCAATGTAAAGCTCCTGCTGGGGACAAATGCTGCTTTCTCCGGAGCTTCCTGTGTTCTGCACATAAACAATCCCATCATTGCTGCAAAAGGAACACTGAAACTACAGGTAAAGAAAGGAGTGTGACGAGCAGGACTTCAGGAGCGACACCCTCTTCTTCCTGGCCGTGGATCTCCACCCTCTCCCTGGCTGCAGGCACCACCTCCAGGGCGGGCGGGCTGGAGCCCTGAACTCACCGAGAGCAAGGACTCCCGGAGCTTCTCCACGAAGTTCTCCGGGGGCAGGATGCCCAGCGCGGGTCTGTTGATGAATGTACTCTGCAAGGAGCCAGGACAAAGGTCAGCCTCCTGGCTGGGACTGGCACAGGTCACACAGACGCTACCATGGGCGACAGTGAGGAGTACGCGAGACCTCTTTGAACTGCTTTTCGCAACTTCCTCTGAATCTATCATTTTAAAAAAATTGCCAGAGGGTGTGTGCACTCACCAGAGAGAGACAGAAAGGCGGAGAGGGAGAAAGCACCCCTAAAGGGGCGTGGTCACCTTGCAATTGCTTCTCCACTTCTCCATCCTGTTGTGAGTTGGGGCATGCACGTGCACCTAACGTGTGTTTCAAGCTGTGGGGTCTGGGATTCAAACTGTGGTCAGCCATGTGGAGCCCAGCTCCCTTGCCACTAGGCTGGCCCAAATGTTCATTAAAAATAAATAAATAAATAAACCTAGAATGGCTAAAAGCCAGAGCATGAATGATAGCAAGTGACCTAGAGCAGACAGAAGGCTCGTTCTCGGCTGGTGAGAAGGGAAGTGGCACTGCTGCCGAGGAAGGCGGTGTGGCAGGTGGGGTGGCAGGTTCCGATAACGCGGAACATACACTTACCCTGCTACCTGCAGTCCGCTCCTAGGTGCTCACCCAGGTGAGACGGAAGTGCACGTCCACAGAGCTGCGTATGTGAATGTTTACAAGGTGTGTTTTTTTTATTTTTTATTTATTTTTTTTTAATATTTTGCTATAGGACGTGTGCACTTGCTGGAGAGACAGAGAGAGGAAGAGAGACAGAGAGGAAAAGTGAGAAAGCACCCCCCAGAGAGGATGGTCACACCCCAATCTCTTCTCCATTTTTCCTCTTGGGATTTTGGGCACACACACACGTCTTTCTTTTCTTCTTCTTTTTTTTTTTGTTTGTTTTTTTACCATAGGATGTGTGTGCTTGCTGGAGACAGAGAGAGAGAGATAGAGAGAAAATGAGAAATCACTCCCAAGAGGGGGATGGCCATGCCACAATGTCTTCTCCATTCTTCTCTCAGGATTTTGGGCATGCACGCACATGCACCCAGCATGATTTTTAAAGCAGCTGGGTCCAGGACTCAAATCATGGTTGGTCAAGTGGAAATCAGGCACCTTAACCACCACACCTGCTAGTCCATGGTGTGATTTTCAAGTCACTGGGTCCAGGTCTCAAACTGTGCTGCTGGTCCATGGGATCCAGCTGCCTTAACTACCATGCCACTGGTTGACGCAGACTGTACCTTAAGTTTTAAAATATGAGGAAGGAAAAAGGCGCAGCTCTAGAATTTCTAAACTGAATAGGGGGTGTCCAATAGAGGGCTGGCCAAATCACCCACGTGGGGAAAAGCCACATTAGAAAACAGCAAGATTGTGTACGTTATGTCGCTGGACTCCCACATAGTCAGTGAGGTTCGAGTCCTGGATCTGGTGTGCACACTCCAGGTGCAGATGTGTGTGTGCCCAAAATCTGGAGAGGAGGATAGAGGAAAAGGGACCATGGCATGGCTATCCCCCAAGGAGGTAACTTCTTGCTTTCTGTCTCTCTGGCGAGTGCATATACCCTACAGCAAAAATCTCTCTTAAAAAAAAAGAAAAGAAAAGAAAACTGCAAGATCCTTCATGTCAATCTTCTCATCTATTTTTTTTCTTTCTATTTTTAGATTTTGGCCATAGGGCACGAGTGCTCTCTGGAAAGAGAGACAGAGGGAAAGTGAGAAATCACCTCCTGTGGGGATGACCATGCCACAATCCCTTCTCTTCCATTTTCCTGTCCGGATTCTGGCCATGCATGCACACATGCCCAGAGTGAGTTTCAAGAACCCGAACTGCAGCTGACCACATGGGAGGTCAGTGCCTTAAGCACCACGCCACCTGCTGGCTCCTAGTCTTTCTAATTTTAATCTTTCTAATTTTCATTTCCTCCCTTTGTGAAGAAATGGAGAGTGTGAGCCAGACAATAAACGGACACAAGCGCCTGAGCCCCGGGAACCGAGGGACCTGGTGGCAACTGCGACCAGCTCGCTTGCCCAAGGAGGATCAGCCATGCCCCTGGCTGCAGAGCAAGGACCAGGCCGATGGCGCCAGGGCTCCTAACTTTAAAAAGAAAAGGGAAATGCGGATTTTAAAGTGCATTAACTTTAAAATGCTAGCCAAAACTATCTTAACAACTACTGCTGGCTGAGGGACAGTCTCACGTTCCTACAGCTGCGTTTTCAAAGACAACCAGCCCCTCCTTTGCTGGCTCTAAAACCCAGGCACGGGTGCCGGCTGCCCACATGATGGGGTGAGAGACACGCAGCAGGGCCAAGTGTCCCAAATGTCCCCCGACAGCCTTGGTGCCATGTCGTCCTCAGACAAGGACATATGTGTCCTTGCTTTAAGCTCGTGCTTTCCTTAAAGCGCAGAACGAAAACAGGAAGTCAAACCCATAGCATCCGATCCTAGGGGACATCGGCCGCGGTAGAGGTTTCACTAGGCAGCTCGGTACTGTGTTAGGAGCCTTGCGTATTCTGACACGGCGTCTCACTGCTAGCTGCTAACCCAGCGGGGTCAGACGTGGACCGCGGCTCTGCATCGGTTAGTCAGGTGGCACCTACTACTTGTAACCAATCAGGAGAGGCGCCGGCGGCAGGGAGTAACTAAGGCACACTGACTCGGCCACGCGCAGCCTTTCAAGTGGCGTTAAGGAAGTTGCATTCACACAGAAGGGCTTAGATTGAGTGTTTTTTATTTTTCTTCTTTGTATAAAAGAAGATTTGTTCTCCTAACTCCTCTCTTCAACTTGTTTATTGAGTCCTATTATAAAAATACCACATTGTATTTCTGGACAGTAGAGTGCATTCACTCATGTTCCTTCATTCCGGAGGCCGTAAAAAAGTAGGGAAGCACCAATGCTAGATTAGAGGTAAAACTACAAGGGTTGAGTCACTTGCTGTTAATGAGCCTCAACTATCTCATTTTAAAAATGGGAACAGCACGGCCTGCCCTTGCTCCCAGGGGAGCCCTCGGACGCCCCCAGGAAGTAATGGCTTTCTAAGCAGCAGCACCAGGCAGGCAGGCAGCAGCCATGGCCTTACCCACAGGAGGAGAGTGGAGCAGACAGCCCCACAGGGGCAGGGAAGCAGCGGGGTGTCACGGTACCTACTGTGTGGCAGGCACTGGGCAGGGGCTTTACCTGTCGGCAAGATAATCTCGCCACCCTTTAGGATGAGAAGGACACGCTATCGTTTGGGAGGAGGGAGATGCATCAGCTTTACGGGGAAAACATGAAGCCAGTGAATGAGGTCAAGGTCCTACTAAGGCCAGCCTCCTCCACTGTCCCCTTTGTACTAAGGGGTGAAGGCAGAGTACAGCTGGAGGCTCCTCCCCTGCAGGGACTGGGAGGAGCACGGGAGGGTCTGCACTCGGTGAGCGATGGGATCCTGAGGAAGTGGATCAGGTTATGAAAGGGTTGTATTAAATGCAGCGTGGCTCCAGGGATCTGATACTGGGACGACAACAAAAAGGGACGTGAGTGGAAACTGATGAAATCCAATACAGTCACCTTCCATCATGTACCAACATACATGTGTATGAGCTGGGCAAGCGTGCCAGGCTGAGGCGAGGGGCTGCAAATCTGACATGATTCTAAAACCAGGGCGCGTGCTTCCAAGAGGAGGGCCATCCAGGGTTTGGGGCTTCTCGGCTGTCTCCACCTTGGACGCGATCAGTGGGATAAGCTCAGTGAAAATCCAGAGCGGCATCACCTTGTAGGGGAAAGCCAGGGAGAGAGGCCCCCAGAGAGCCTCGGGGCGGCCTGGGACTGGCGAGGGTTGCTGCAAATTGTGGCAGCTTCATCCCTGTGACTTTTTCTGCTTTGTAACCAGCAGGTTGCTCTGAAATAAGTCGTGGCGGAAGTAAACAGCCTTCATTGTAGAAGTGAGGAAGCTAAGACCAGAGAAGTCAAGCAGCTTGCCCAAGTCGCACAGCTGGGAAGAGGCAGAACCAGAGCGCAGACCCAGGCTGGCTGGCTTCAGGTGCGGCTGTCGGCTTCAGACACTCCAGGCAGCCTCCACCAACTAGTGTCAACACCAGACAGGAGCTTTCTTGGCACAACCTGGAGACCTCGGCCTCCCTGCAGGGGCCTTTAAGGAGCGTTTCCTTCTGCCTGTGAGCTGCTCGTGGGGCTCCTCAGAAAATCAGGTCCATCAGAACAGGGTAGAAGCAAACTACCATCACTGGCAACAGGGACCGTGGCTCCCCGAGGGGGATGAGCAGGCTGGCTGGCAGCTTGACTGCCTATCTGGGTCCAGGAGAGATGTGGGGGTGGTGTTCTTGCTCGGCAAAGTGTGACATTAAGAACACAAGCTATCTGGGACGTCGGATAGCAGAATCAAATGAGGACAGGTTTCTAGAGTCCTGGCTGTCTGCTCAGCAGCCTCACAGAGCCGTGTGAGAACAGCTGCAGTTTAAGTGGCTGTGCCTCTGTGGACAAGACACTCAACCTCTCTGAGCTTCGGAGCCTTGCTGGGTGCTTGCAAGGAGTTAATGAGGTGACATGGCGTACACAGGATGCAGGCGCTTGGTCTTGAGGGTCAGAGCTGCACGGGTTGGCCTGGGGTACGTCTGTCCTGCCAGGCCTGCTGTGTGACGTCCCTCCCAGGGGATTTCAGACTGCGGTTGTCACTCGCTGCAATGTGATCGCGCATGTGCAATGGCCAGTAACTTACAGGTAAGCCGTGAGATTGCTCTGGTGACACAGAATTGTAACTGGAATCCAGGGATGAGACCCAGGGAGCCTGGCTTCATGTTTTGCAACCACTTAAGTGAGTTAGTTGGCGTTTCAGGCAATGTGGTTGGGTGACAAAAAGGTCAAGAGTCCCCTTCTCAGGGCTTCCATGACCTGGTGGGAATTTGCCCCGGACAGGTAAAATACCGTAACCACCACCTGAGCAGGACAGCAGCTAAGAACTGCGAGACTGCAGACTCCACCCCCAGCCCCAGCCAGCCTGATGCTGTGTGCCTTGCCGAAACGCGATAGCTAAAAGTCAGCCGCTATTCCTCAAAGACCGAGGCAACGCCTGTCTCAAAGCCCCAAGCCCAGAGCCTCCCTGGGACAACTCAGCACAGACTGCTCTCATCCTCAAATCCCAGCACCAAGAACAGCATGGGGGTGGGTGGCATTCAGTGGTATGGTGGTTAAGACGCTGGACTTCCAAATGGTCGACCATGGTTTGAGTCCTGGACCTGGTAGCTTTCTTTCTCACTTTCTCTCTCTCTGGTGAGTGTGTGTGCCCTATAGCAAATTTTAAAATAATAATAATAAAAAGTAAAATTAAATAAAAATAATTCTAAAAAAAAGCTAAAGCTTAAAAAAAAATAAAAAAGAACAGCACCTGGCACACAGTAGGTATTCAGTTAGTAAGTGGTGAGTGGACAAACATCAGGAAATAAAACAGAAAAGAAAGCAGGAGGCAGATCACCCTGGGCTTTGCATTGGAAGTGGGGGAGCTCGGGGTGCACCCTGAAGACAGTGGGTGTCAGGGAGGCAGTTTGGAGGAGATGAGAACAGAGGTGGGAAGGATGGATGGAGAGAGGCTGCTGCCAAAAACTCAAGTGGCTGTCACAGGGTGAGGGCTAGTCCCTGGCCAGGTGAGAGGTGAGAGGTGAGAGGTAAAAGGTGAGAGGTGGGTGAGGAATGAGGGGTGGGTTCTTGGCAAGGACAGGGGGGTGTCATCCCCCAGAATCACACTCCCTGGGCCTTGACGTCACGTGTTGTGGGGACAGTTCTGCCTGCAGAGACAGCTGACACTGCAAATGAGTGTGACATGTTTGTTGACACATTTTTCAGCACCAGCTGCCCAGGCATCTGGGATTTGTACAACGTTTCGAAACAAAGCCAGGCTTCGGCATAAACAGACCGGAGGAGCTTCCGGCCGCCATGGCCCTTCCAGACACCTTCAGGAAGACATCGGTGTTCTCTCCAACAGCCCCCGCCCCCAGCTGGTCAACTAACTGGAGGCTAGAATGACCTGCAGCCTCTCCCAAGCAGGCCACACCCACTCATAAAGAGGGAAATACACTTTTCCCTATAATCTTCAACTCTGTGCATTAAAAGGGAAGAGTCTGAATTTGGGACTTGGTTCCTGACCGGAACTGGGCTCCTGGCCCCTGCCTGTCTCAGATCTCTCTCTGGGAGTCAGTTTCCTTGACACGCATGGACAAGCATGTCACACTGAGTCGAGGGAAAACCCGGGGGGCTGGTGAGAACGTGGAGCAACAGGACTGGCATGCCCTGCTGGAGGTGGGCACTGGTACCACCAGTTTGGAAAACACCTAGCAGGAATTGCTGAAGCTGAACTGGGCTCGGGCTACGCCTGGCAGCCTCACTCCTAGCTCTGAATTCAATGCCAGACATAACCGTGTTCACCAAGACACGCCCTCCATCACTCACGGCCGTCTGCATACGGGCCGCCAGCGTGCAGCTACCCAAGCACTCGCCGACAGGACTGAAAACATGAGCGCGTGTGCACAGGTGTGCCACCAGACCGCGAGGGCAGAGGGCCCTCAGCTACACCCGGCAGGGCTCCCACAGACGTCCCGAGTGAGAGCAGCCTGCCAGGGTAGAGTGCCCACTGCCATCCGTGTGGCAGCACAGAGCAGGAAAAACTATCTGGGCCAGCCAGTGGCGTGGTGGTTAAGGTGCTGGGTCTCACATGGCTAGCTGTATGGTTTGAGTCCCAGACCTGGTGGCTTGGAAAACATGCCAGGTGCACGTGTGTGCATGCCTAAAAGCCCAAGAGGAGAATGAAGGAGAAGGGATTGCAGAATGGCCATCCCTCCTGGGGGGTTTCTCACTTTACCTCTGTCTCTCTGGAGAGCACATGTGCTCTATAGCAAATTAAAAAGAGAAAAGAAAGGAAAAGCAACCTGTCTATCTGTTAGACATAAGAAAGTGGCCTACCTAATTTGGTTGGGAGGGACAGTAACCAGGTGGGGATGTCTGAGCCTGTCATAGAAGCCCAGACATCAGTACAGTGTATATGTCACATGTTGGTATGTTGGAACCAGACACATCTCCACCCACCAGCCCTGGGACTATGGAAATGTCACATGGCAAAGGGGCTTTTGCCTATGTAATTAAGGCTCTGAAAAGGTTCCGACAGGGAGATGGTTCTGGGTTTCCAGGGGCCCAGCACCACCGCATGAGCCTTAAGAGCAGACGTAGAAGAAGTGGAGAGGACCTATCCCTTTGGTTCTCAGCTTCTAAGTCACTCCCCTGGCCTCTGGCCCCTCCACCCCCAAACAGCTCAGCCCAGCACTTCCACTGGCTGTGTGACCATTGCTGGCTTGCAGAGGAGGGACCATGTGGAAACCGTGAGAACAAAACGAATTCCTCGACAACCTAGCAAGGCCAGCGCAGATTTCTGGAGCTTCCAGCCTAGAGCCCAGGTGAGACAAACCCTGGGGGCCAGCTTTGAGAGACCCTGTGTGCCCAGATAACGGTGGCAGCAGGAAACTAACACATGGCAGAATTAAAATTTTACAGTGGAGGACAACGAGGAAAAGAATGTCCCTTACGGGCATGAGTATGAAAGAAATAGGGCAACACTGGGTCAGGCGTAGGTGAGAGTTGTTGGGCGTTGCATCCAGGGGTCTGCTGTCTCTGTGTGGCATGGCCCCACAGTCTGACGGCACAGTGGCTTCCTCCCACTCTCAAGATAGACTGAGGTCCTCCTCTGCTGGTGGGCCCCCAGGGGGACTAAAACGTCTGCAAACATTTTGACTATCGCAATGGGAGGACACCCTGGTGTAGAGCAGGGGGAGACCAGGGATGCTGCTGACCCTCCTACAGTGCACAGGACACTCCTGTGTCAACAGTGCCAGGGCCGAGGAGCCTGGCCCAGGTACGTTTAAACCCGTGTGCCCCTGTGGCTGCTCCAGTCCTACTTAAATACCTCCCTGCTCTCTAGCCGGCCACTCTGTTCTCTTTTGCTCCCCGAGCACACGGCCATGGCCTTCCATCCTGCTCTCTCCCCTGTTGAAGCACTCCTCCCTGGTCACCTGACAGCACAGTTCATTCTCCTCCCAGATCTCAGTTTCAAAGTCACTTCCCTGACCTCTGGCCCCTCTGCCCCAAACAGCTCAGCTCCTGTGGGTTTATTCCCAGCACTTCCACTGGCTGTGTGACCTTGGGCCACCCTGGACCTCTCTGTGTCTCAGTTTCCTCACCTATATAATGAAGACACCAGCAGTGCTGACTTGTCACTACCAGGGCAGTACAGGCCGAACAGTGTGTGGTGCACGCTGCGCTCTTCC